ATATATATATATATATATAGCACACACCGCGCGCGCGCGCGTACACACACACACACACACACACACATCGAAACTCTCCTCCTAATTATGTAACGTGTATTGATTTCAAAATTTTAGCGTATCCGGTGACAATAGTTCCGTATTATTTGTAATCACGTTACACTGCCTGTTCAATGTCGAGGTGAGAGCCCTACACAAGACATTATAGCTGGATTATCAATCACTAATTTTCAATCACGAATGACTACTAGTCAATCTTATTATAACGCTCTAGCGAAGCGCATCATGGCCAACGATAGTATCGAACATACGTGTTAAAACTGACGTGAGAATCGAAGAACTACATTAAAGGCCAAGCGTCCAATGTGAGTACGAAATTTGACTTCTTCACGAACTTTGACGCCGGAACCGCATCTCCGACATTTTGTATTTTATATATATATATATATATATTGGAAATTCGCCAAATTATAATTCTTTACATTTAATTGTATTCTACAAATTTCTGTAGACAGATTAATGTTTAAAATTCATTATATTTTTTTATATTAATAACATAAATTTCTTTATGATTATATCCTATAAGTTGTAACGATACGTTGTTCATATTAGACATTGAAATCAATAAAGTTATGCTTATGTAATAAACATTTAAACTTATCTCATCAACAATTAGATATAAAAAATCCATCTGTTATAAATCTATTTTAGACTTATTTTCTTTCTTTCTTTCTCTCTTCCTCCTTTTCTGACTGCTCCTTGCGTGCAAGCTTTCATAATGAGAATTCATGTTGACATAAAAAACTATTATCGTTTCTCGATGCTTATCCTCCCGGAATCCTCCCATCGGAAACAAGGATCACCCGCGCTTTTTAATCGGCAAAGAATGTGCAAAAAGCGGACGATCTCCCGGTCGGTGCATCGTGGAACATGCAAAAACGTGATTTACCGATCCGCAAAAAGTCATCCCAAGTCATTCGTGATCGTCGTTTACGCACGAGGTCAGACGAGCGCGTGTCACGGCGAATCGGAGATGACCTCAAGGGAGGTCAAAAATAAGATGGCTCGACTCGATGTCGAGCGCAAAAATTGAGATTTCGCGGGCGAAAGTACGGGGCTGCTGCCGACGTATTGATTCTCGGTCGGTGGAGAGAGGTAGCAGCGCGCGCCTGTGCTCCGGCAACCGTTCGTTCGTTCACGCAGCCCGAGAGCGAGAGACGAGAACGGGAGCGAGAGAGTAACAGGCGGATTCGGGGTGGGAATACCAAGTGCGAGAGCGAGACCGATTCACACAGCCGCACTCGTTCCCCGTGGATCCTGCCACCGAGTCGCTGCTTCCGAGTCCAGTCTTCCCTTAGGCACTCGGCAGGCCGGTACCTGCTTCTCGAAGCCGCGACACGCGCTCCGTCGTTCTCGCGCGCACATATACACACGCGTACACCCCTTGCGTACGTCATTCGCCCTCACGCGCGCGCGCGCGCACACATACACACACACAAAAACACACACACACACAGATATATAGATACACGTACGCTCTCCTCTTACGATTCAGCCACTCACCTTTGCAAAACGGCGTCGCGTACTCGCGTACGGACACGTGTGCTAAGTGCGTACGTGTGCGCGCACACGTACGCAGAGATATACGTATACAACATCTCGCGTATTCATTTTTTCCTAAAAAAACGTACATGCAAACGGAATATATCCCACGTACACACGTATGTCGCAGTCGCGCGATTAACGATACGCGCGCAGATGGACACTTGCCGCGACATACAAGTATGCCCGCGAGTTAAAAGGCAAGGAAGGAACACCGAAAAACCGCGTGTGGGTGCATACGCACATCAGCGCGGCTCACATGTCGTCCGCCTACACTGTGTACGCGCGAGACAGCAGCGAGCCGTGCACCCTTAACATTAAGCGATCGTCGTCATCGTCGTCGTCGTCGTCGCCGTCGCCGTCGCAATCGCCGTCGCCGTCGCCGCCGTCGCTATCGTCGGCCGTCAAGCGCCGATCCGTGTGAGAACCGATTTTTCGCTCTTAAACGACTCTAGGTCACGGATCACCGTGATCTCCCCGCGACCCTTCGACTCGTAGTGGATATATAATATTAATCTCTGTGAGAGAAAGATCGGTCCAACGACTTCCGAATCCGAATATACGAAACGGAAATAACGATTATTGGAACACGCCGGGTCCCGAAGCGCCACTCCGAGCAGTAGACTCTCGAGATTCGGAGTTTTCCGAGAGACGCCAAGGCGTCCTCGGGAGAAATAACCCCATAGCGCGTCGAAACGGAGCGCGTCAACGATCGTTTCAACGAGAGGACGAAAGATTAAAAAGCCTAAGAGCGAAAGATCGCGAGGATCCAGCAACAACTCACTTTGCCGTTAGCGAGTCATGCACCTCGTTGAGAGGGTGACGACGAACTTGCCGAAGAGCGGCTCGACACGGCGATCTCACTTGCCTAGAGACAAGTTCTGAACCTGTAGTAGCAGCCTAAACACAACCAGTGATCTTCCTACAGATATATATATATACAGATATATATATATATATCTACATAGATGTATATACTATAGGTGTATATACTACACCATGTACAGGTGTATATATACACACACGTACATATTGCATATACTCTGACCGTCGTACGCGCGTCTATTTTTGTTGTCACCGTCACGCGCCGCGCAAGAAAGCGGCCTAAGGAAGCGGCAGAATATCGTAAAGTTCCAAAGTATCACTTGTTAACGAACACGAGATCACCCGCACCGAGGAAAGAGGAGAGAAAGAAAGAGAGAGAGCGAGACAAGTAATATTTCTATATATACATATATATATATAAAAAAGAGCACACATATCTTAACGACGTTGACGATTCATAGTATATTTTGGTCATAGTGAAGAAAAAGTCAATGGAGAGAAGTAAGAAGGAGGCGAGGGTATAACAAACAATCGTGACCAGCACAATAATAAACGATCTTATAAGAACACAGAGAATAATATAATTAACGATAGCGATAAAAAAAGGGAGAGAGAGAGAGAGAGAGAGACGTATTCTAGTGCGATAAGATTAGAAACAGGTGGGGTCCCGGTGGGTCCGTATCGTTGAAATTTTGTATGCCGGCGGTGTATTATCGACGAGGAAACATGTACGAGGGCGGCATGGCTGGTGAACGACAGGTATGTTCTCGCATAACGATCCGCAGAAACATCAAATTCTATCATAAATTTCGTCATATTGACATTGAGAAAAAGAATTTTTCGTCGTTGTTATCGATATCTTAATTTATTATATGGCTAAATCGACGTTATATATCACATTTTACTAAAAGCGATTCTAACGAACATCGTGTATAACAATAGCATACATGCCTAACGTGCATCTTTTCTAAATGCATGCAATTCTTCTTGTTCAACATTTCAAACATTGTACTTGACATCTAAAGCCTACTTTATATCTCGAAGTTTACGTGACGTACACAAGTATATTAAAGCATAAGTTCAACGTATATACTGTATATATCCCAACTTCTAAAACAAACTACTTCGCTTTTCCTTTAAGTCTATCTAAATTATTATCTAAAACTCATTTCATATGAGTTTCTTTACATACGTAAAAATGATAAATGAGATTCTTTAATATCTTTAGAATAAATCAACAGCTTGATGAATATGGAATAATTCTGAATATGAAATAAATTCGGTCATTTAAAAAACTTAAGATATCTCTTGTAATAGGGGAAACTCAGGAAAGCTTTAGAAAAATGCCCAGTCTCCTTAGAAATCGGGAGAAATGTCATAAAGCCCCGCCGAGAGGGTTAACATTTATCGCGTCGGTATAACCAAAGGTTGATTTGAAATTCTTTATATCACCATAAAAGCATAAAAAAGAAAAAATTAATGAACTTCTGAAAAGCTTCAGGCCAAAAATGTAAAATTGTGATTCACGTTCTTAAGTACGTATTACTTAATTTATTTTGAACACTCAAATTCAATTGTTTTTAAGATCGTAAAGCGATTACTTTTGAGAATTCATAAAAAATTCAATTGTTATTTCAACTAAATACAATAAACAGAACTGAGTATTCAGAATGTTAATAAATGAATATATGAAATAATTAGCATGATTAATATGAAATACAAGACACTTATCATAGTTATCTAAATTTGGCTTATTACATTGAACACTAAAAACTAATAAAAAGTCTGCTTTAACCATTCTGAATTAAATTGAAGATACTACACATCTGTACGCTAATATGCATTTATATGTATTTTCATATAATACGCATATACATATACATACGCATATATTATTCTTGTGAGTTATCACGTTGAAATGACTTATCCGCAAAAGTTCAATTTACGTTAGAAAGAATTTTCCAGTTTTCTACGGCAGAGAACATTTCACAAGAGTAATATGCTAACAAGTCAATGAATAATTAACATCTTCTTTCGCGCGATGCTAATGTAACGTATAAAAATGTAACGTATAAATTTTACTTACGAATAAATTTTATTTTATTTTTTTCATTTATAATACGCATAATATTGCGAAATAAATCTGCATTACGAAATAATTTAACAAAGCTTTAACTCGTTCTCTAAATTGGCCATGGAAACTTTAAATTTATTTAACAAAAGTTTTTGTGAAAAGTTTTGATTTTCGGAAATTACATATATGTTCAAAACTCATTTCTGGAATTATTCTGTATAAAAAATGTTCTTTGAATATGATCTCGAGTCTTAAGTATGTTTTGAATAATCCATTTAGTGAATGGATTTAACTATTACTTAAAGATAAAGGACTTTTTGAATAAAGGATAGAGGCCATTAATCAATATCAAGTAACTTTGATTGTTTTAAAGGTTTATCATTCGTGATCATTCTTTCATAAAAATATATAGCAAACTAAACTTTAATAAAATTGTACAACTAGAAAGGATCTATAAGTGAAATTTCCATCATTAATCCTGATAGCCCTCCTCCTCCATATGGAAGAGCGGATCGTTACATGTGGAAGCATTTGCAGTGAAATAGATTTGCATTAAAATCGATTTTCTCTGGGGCTACTGATATTTACAGCAAGCGCATTTACCATCTACATAAAATATGCTCGTTGTATACGCTGAATCGAAGAACGAAACAGAAGAGTTCATGCGATTAAAATTGCACCTACTTCGATAACAAGTATAATTGAGCTTCACAAAATCTAAATTGAAATGGGCGGGCGGAAGTCGGAAGAGCGCAAGAAATGTCGAAAGAAAATTGGATAGCAAATTGACGCGAAATGACCGTTCTCGTAAATTCTTCGAAATCATCCCGAATACTCGTATCTATTTATACCTCCAATAATTTGCGATTATTTTTTCACGGAATTTTGGCAATTTGTACAATTAGGCATTTTTCGCAAGAATACCCATAATATTTTCGTTCAAGAAAAATTTCATTGACGTAACATACTTCCGAATATTTATCTATGAATGCTTTCTCTCGAGAATAGGTTGTTTCGCTCTAGCAACATTGTTTTAAATAAGAATCTTTTTATATAGAGCCGTTTCTTGTGTCTGCAATTCCGTGCCTATACACACGAAACGCTATCGAACCTTTGAACCCTCTCGTGTTGGAGAGGATTCCCAGAGGAAATTATTCTTTCAGTGCAATTTCGTGTACTACAAACGGGAAATTAAAAAAAAATTTTTCAGCTCGATTTCTAGGTAGCATCGAGACCTACGCGTCAAAGTAACGAGCTTGAAACAAGATCTTGACAATATTAGATCTCAACTTTTTTTCTGACTTTATACGAATCACCCATTTACATATCTCAAAGATTATAACAATATTGGAGGATAATTGTTGATTTACGCCACATCCTGATTTTATAATTAAAACAGCATTATGAGAAAAATAAGAAAGAGAAAAATACAAATAAAATAGTTCTAGGAAGTTATGAATATGTAAAATGATGTAATATTATCAATAACATATTTGCCATTTAAACTATTTTATTATTAAATTACACAAAATTGCAAAAGAAAATCGTAAGAATTTTTTCTTTTCGCATTTGAAAATTTTGTTTTTAGCTGATTTTATATACAGGATCATTTAAAGCGTGACGAATTTTTATTTCAGAAACAAAGCACTACAGAACAAAACGTTTAGACAAAAGTTATTTGATTTCAAGAGGGACATGCGATAGTATTTTTAATTCGTCATTTCATGGGCGTTTTCAATTATTTTTTTGTTTTTTTTTTGTTTTTTTGTTGTTTTTTAGAATATTTAAAAAAGATGCTCAAAATGATGTCTAGCTGGCCTGCCATTCGTTAAATAGGTCCATCTTATACGGGCTGAAACTTAGTTTTCAAGTTTGGTTTTCCAATTTATTTTGCACAGATTTATTCTTGTTAATACTTTTCGATATTGCTTTGATTATTCTTCGGATTATATCCTCTCTTATTGAGACTGACACTCTCGGACTCTTTTAAGTTATTTCTTATCCTTTCAGCGCTTATTCGATGAGTTATAATTTTAGTCTTTTTCAAAATGAATGCATTTCACGAAGCATTTAACATGTTTATGATTCTGGGAGAATGCAAAGATAACTACAGAGATACTGTTAATGTGTATAATGAACGTTTTCCAGATCAATCGGCGAAGTCTCATATGGCATTTCTATGTATAAAGGTAAGAAATAACTAGAAGTGTCCGATAGTGTCATAATCTCAATAAGGGAGGATATGATCCGAAGAATAAGCAAAGCAATGACGAAAGTATTAATAAGACTAAATCTGTGCAAAACAAATTGAAAAACAACTTGACCAACAACTTGAAAACTAAGTCTCAGTGCCCATATAAGACGGACCTATTTAACGAATGGCAGGTCAGCCAGACATCATTTTGAGCATCTTTTTTAAATACTCTAAAAAAACAACAAAAAAACAAAAAAAACAAAACCAAAACAAAAGGGATCAAACCCCATCACGTCCACGTCGTCGATCCTGGATAACGCTAAGAACGGGTAATATATCATTTTATTAAATATCTTCGAACATAAGATCCGGATAAAAAAAGTGTTCCTACAAAAGTTATTTCCTTTTCTACACAAAATAATATCACGTGATAAAAATAATAAGTTTCCATTTAAAAAAATCAAAGTTGACTTTCAAATAACTTTGAAAACCATCCATGAAATGACGAATTAAAAATACTATCGTATGTCTCCCTTGAAACCAAATAACTTTTATCTAAACGCTTTTGTTCTGTAGTGCTTTGTTTCTGAAATAAAAATTACGTCACGCTTTAAATGGTCCACCCTGTAGCATCAAGCGACAAATAT